GACATTGTAAATGTATGCGGCATTGTTTGCTGTTTTTATAGTTCATTATTTTTTAATTTGTATGGTATAATATACATGTTTTATTTCATGCATAGATGAGATTATGCATATGTCTGCAGTCCAAGAATAAATTTTTATGCATCTTTTTAATAACAGCCAGCACTCCAGTCTCAACTGAAAAGAGTTCTTTCTGATATAAACACATCCCACAAGGATTATGATCTCAGCATTGCCAATGGTCTTTTCGCAGAAAAAATCTTTGACTTTGACGAGGTAAGCAAAACTGCCTATGTTAGAAGGTTATTTTCACTCTGGACCTGAAACTTGTTTAATCCATTATCTGAATAAAGGCTTGCCCCTTTCTACCCAGCCAGACAAAGATGATTATTTTCCTTGTGGTTCCTAATCATGTTCTCAGGTAGGAACATAACCACTGTCTTTGTATCATCACTGTTTCTAAAGTTCAGCTTTTCACCCAACGAATCCACGTATTCAGGGTCACCAGACTGATGAGCTCCAAAGCAGAAGAGAAAGTGCCCATTGGTACTGATGTCGAGCTGTAATTGGAGGATGGGGAGTAACCAGCCCACTTAGGGGTGTCCAGGACAATGAGGAAAAAGTCTATCAGTGTTTCCTCTGAGCTTTCAATCTCCTGAGACTGTTTTGAATCCCCAGTGTGAGTGCTCTCTTTTCGCTTTTTTTTTTTTCTCAGCCATGCTTTTCATCTCTGCTTCTAGCAATTACTTACTTATATTTCCAGTGAGGTTGCTTACAAAAGAGTTCCTGGTGGGAGGCGTGGCCACATAGGGTCAGCCATTGGCACTGGGAAAGCTCAGATTCAACAGAGGTGAAAAATGGGTTCACTTGAAATCAGTAGTCTAATGTTTACCATTTCTGCATGGTATTATCAATACGCTCATCATAGAACCCTGCCTACCCAGAGGGAAATTAGGCCCAGAATGAAGTCTACATGCTACTATGCTCAACTCATGCTTTTCAACCAGCATTACTATGACTACCAGAAGTTTCTTACCTAGTTAATGCCATTCAAAAAGACAGTGACCATGGTTCTCTGGGCATGGTTTCTCTCCTTTTTAATTCTGCATGCCCCAGACAACTGTAAAACTTCACCTCAGTGACATCTTTGGGCTAATCTCCACTTGCATCTTTGCCAACTCTCTGTGTTCCACCTAGCCATTACTGTTCCGTGTGCCACCCACTCAAATTCTTTGCCTCTTCCAGCACCACTCCCAAATCCTTTGCTTGGTAGCCTGCCAATTATGAAGCATTAGGCCACTTTTTATGGATGAATGGATGGGTGGATGGAGGGATGAATTAATCAGTAGCTCTATCCATAGAAGTTACATGCAAAGCTTGCGTTAGAGAGCTAATCTCATCCTGTGACTGTAGACAATGAATAAGTAGTCAATCTTCATCATTAAAGTTGAAAATCCCATAAAATTTAATAGGATACCCATTGATAATACAAAATGAAATATGGTTTGTAATAAATCTTTTTCTCCCAATTCTGAAAATCTTTCCTTCAAAAAATATATATGTGTATTTGTTATATTACTGATATATTAACAAATTAGATCACACTTTTTAAATTTTTTTTTTATTTCAGCATATTACAGAGGTACAAATGTTTAGGTTACATATATTGCCTTTGCCCCACCTGAGTCAGAGCTTCAAGCATGTCCATTCTGGTGAGACTGCCAACTAGTACAACCTCTGTGGAAAGTAATATGGAGATATCTCAAAGAGATACAAGTAGAACTACCATTTGATCCAGCAATGCCATTACTGGGCATCTACCCAAAGGAACAAAAGACATTCTGTAAAAAAGACATTTGCACTCGAATGTTTATAGCAGCACAATTCACAATTGCAAAAATGTGGAAACAACCCAAGATCACTACTATTTATTTTTATAAAAAAGTATCTCTTAAGTGTCTATTACGTACAAGGTAATGTGCTATGTACTAGAACTAAAGTATTAACAAGGCATATGTGGTCCTGATTTCACAGAATTTCCTGCCTTGTGAAGGGTTCAGAAAATCTCAAATGTAAGGAAGATGCATTATGCTATAATAACAGCTGTTAAGAAAAATGAAGGTAAAGAAATTTTTAGAAGACATAGGAAGAACCTAGGGAAGATGTGTGTCAAGGAGAGACAGCTATTCCTGAAACTGGAAAATGAGAAAGACATCATCATGAGAAATATGGGACATTCTGGTTAGAAGGAATGTTGTTCAAATGCCTAAAGTGACAGAGGACACATGGCATTTTTGAGAAATTGTAAGGAATTAGGTATGGGGAGAGGGCAGAGTAGGAAGGGGTAAGTGGCTAGAAATGAGGTAACAGGGTATAGATCAACAGAGAATTGTAGGTGAGGTTCAAGGGCTTGGGCTTTATCTTAAGCCTTGAAGGTTTTCAGCAGGAAGCGGGTAACCAAGCAAGGGAGACTAGTTAGGAGGCTATTGAGGTATTTATGATGAGAGAGCTGTGGTAAAGGAAGGGAGTGGGCTTCAGTCATAATCTCTGTTAGCCTCCCTAATCCATTTCAGATAAACTTCAGTTAAAACAGTGCTATTTGTTGCACAAATTCAATTTCAAGTTCACCAGATTCCTTTCCAACCATGTTTTCATATTTCCAGCTATATTTATTTACTCATCTTTGGGGCAGGGCTGAGTCTTGGAATAAAGCAGTGGAAATGCAGAAACAAGTTCAAAAGTACATTTCTTATATGCTCAGTTGGTGGTGATTTGTAAATACAAGGCCTGTATGCTTATTTGTAGAACTACGTTCGGTGTGCTGAAAAGTTATACAATGCCAACGTGGAACGAGTTGATTTTACAAATGATATGGAAGATACCAGATATAAAATCAATAAATGGATTGAAAAGGAAACACATGGTGAGTGCTATATCTTATTTTTCTATAAGATCTCTCAGTTATTTAAAATTATGTTAGCATTAGTCTGCAATGTGGTTTTAAGTAATCTTAATAACTTGAATGCTTTATACTTTTCAGAAATTTTGCCTTTTAAATTATCTCATATGATTGGTAAACAACACTGTGAAACAAACAGATATTATTGTAACCATTTCATAAATTAATGACAAGTTGAGATAATTTAATGAATTAATCTCAATATCTCATCCTAGTAAGTGAACAAAAACTAAGAGTGGTTTATAGGACATTATTTTCAATAACCACAATGTCATATTTCATTCTAATGACCAATCCATTTTTTTAGGATTGGGTTGGTTTTAATATTTTAAAATATCATTGCCTTTCTTAAGGTGATCTATAGTTTATCTGTCATTTTAAAATTATCTTCATTTATCCAAATAATGTATGTGGCAAAGATTGTATTTTCCAGAAAAAATACAACTTCTTAGTGATAAGTCTCTTTCATAACTAAAAACTGAATTCAGTTTATGTTCTGGCTTAATACAAAAAAAAAAAAAAGGAAGTTTATTCATCCTTGGCGTGTTAATCAACTGATTCCAAGGCTCATAGTTGTTTCTTTACCTAAGGGTCGGGCTTGATTTGTACTCTGAACATTATACAAATATTCACTGAGTCTGCCTCTGCCTGAGAAATATGAGACATGTGACTTGCACTCTTAAATGCAAACATTCAGCAACATGCAATTAATTCTGGGATAGAGCTGGAACGCATTCTACTAAGTGAGGTATCCCAAGAATGGAAAGACAAGCACCACATGTACTCACCATCAAATTGTTATTAACTGATCAACACATAAGTGCA